CGTTTTCTCACTCTCCTATAACGAGAGCTCGAACACTTTGAATCGGCCTATAACGCTATCGATAATGAGCAGCCTCTTAATTTTCTATCGCTACTGTACTTAATTGCGTTTGCATTTCTTATTTTGGTCTAAATCCAGCTAGCTGTTTCTTTAATCAAACTACGATATATTGAGTTAGGGAGCTACATTTGTCGCTCCTAGGATCATGCTCACGTTGGGTCGATCGGATTGGCCATCAGTAATCCGAATGAGTTAGGCTAGGGAGCTGTTGGAGGAATGTGCCAAGGTGTAAAAATGATTATGGAATTCATTGTACAGGGTGAATCGAAATCAGTTTCACCATTTGCTCACTGAGATTATTTCTCAAACTCTCTGGTGAAACACGCTATACCTATTGCAGTTACGCTGTCCTTGAACCCCTTCCTTGGCGTTATTTCTGTACAGCTGTAAATAACAGCCTAAAATAGCTGTTGTATCAGACCGTAAGGTATTCGGGCGAGTCTAGAATGCTGAGTCAGCAATGGGTCTGCCTGGCTCCTCTTTTTCCCCGGGCCTCCACCATTCTTACTGCTTGTGATGTACGCTTGGCCACCTCTCTTACGCAGACCTTTAACCCCCGCCGCGTCTACATTGATACCAAGCGCACGATACAGATGTCTTGTTCACGATTCAAGCCTATCCAGCCTTATACGCCAGCTACCAAACCCTTGATATCTGATCAACGGGGGAAACCCCCGGTACAAGACCACCTAATACGAAGACTCTCAGCAGCCTGCAAAGAATGTCAGCGCCGGCGGACCAAGGTAAGAATCCTGGATCATATTGTATACTTAGCTGCTTACTTGTTGGTTTTCAACGACAGTGCAGTTCTGAGAATCCATGCTTGGAATGCACGAAGCGTGGCTCTATTTGCGTTTTCGATATGAGCTCCGACAAGCGACGCAAGAGTCACGCAAGTAAAATAGAAGCAGAACTCCGTCACTACCAAAGGTTTTTGAACGACTTTTTGAGGGCAATCCAGGACTCTAGTGATGATGACGTCCGTAACATCATCAATACTGTGCGGGCGGGGTCATCAACAAGTGAAATCCAGTCTGAGGTAAACAGTGTCCTTATGAGGAATTATTGCTCTCGACCCACGCTTTGACTCATGCAAAACGTTTTGGCAAAGCTCTTTATCATTTTGGGAGTGTCAATTGTCCCGGCATATTTTCTGAGCTCGGCTCCTTGCACCTCTGATACATTCAGTGTTACGCAGTACTTGCCGAAATGCATGAATGTGTTTTGGATACAATAAGCTATCATTCAAATCGAGATGATTGGAAGTATTCTACTCGCGGCGCCATATCACGACTTAAGCCATCTTGCACTGATCCTGTCCAGCTACTTGTTACTTGATTCCTTAACTACAATAACGTTCAACATCATAAAGTTTCGCCCCCCGCTGTATCATATCCAGCCACCGTTTATCACGAGGGTTCAGCAAGAATTGTAAAAGCTACTGTTCTCGGCCCACATTGATGGATGAAGAAACCAGGTTCACCGTTCATTTTTTTAGTCTCCATTACGTCATCGCTCGCATTCGTGGCCAACCAACATACAAGCACACTCAACTCCGCACATATTGCCACCTGAGGTGTAATAGTCATTGGACGTTTGATGTATCCTCCACACTAAAAGATGGCTTTCAAATGTAGGTGGTCATGTGCTATAAAATGTTTAAGAATCTTACCTACTGCGTAGTGGGAAATTAGATACAAACTAACATTGGACAAACTTGATCGAGAACCGAAGAATTGTCGACAGGTGACACACATGTTGTGCTCTCCTATGTCGTGCTGAGCTAGATTTTGGGCTGTTTCAAATTGGATGTCGCAGGAAATACAGTAGTTGTGTTCAGTTCCGAGGTGCTCATCAAGCTCAACCATCTTCGCGAAATCTTGTGGTGGGAAACAAATGTAGCAGATATGATGATATGGAGAGTCGTAGATATGTTGCAGCCTCGCGAAGAAAGTTCTAAAGCTGATTGCGCAGCGCGTGCAATAAAATCGGTTCAGAAGCATGATCCAGGATTGTTAGGATTTTCCACATGAGTGTTGGGAGCAACAGGAACAAGTGATTGTTTGTTTACTGAATGAAGTCTGTGCGGAGAAAGGTGGCGGGGCTCTTGACCGTGTTTGAGCTTTTGTGACTCATAGTCCCACCTTTTAAGCCAATCACCACATGGCACGTGATAACCCGTTTGATGGCAAACCAGGCCAAAAAGCTACATATTTGGTAGATCCGGTCGACACAACGTCAATACGAGATGCCTCTTTACGCCGAGGGAGTTTCGGACCAGATTCTGCATCTGGATATGGTCCGAAAAAGAATGATCAGGAATCAGAAATTCTGATTGTTCTGATATTGCCTTCTGCCAGGCAAGGTGATGCGAAAGAATAAAGTCAGTAGGGTTTGCAAAAACATTACAGGTAATTTATAGAGCCTCTTATCACGTGAGAGACGGTTTCAATACGATTCGGCATTTGGAAATAGGCTAGGCCTGAACAAGATTGGCATGTTTTGGGATAGGGTACGAGAAAGATTCACGAGAGTAAAGTGGTGAAACTGATTTCGATCCATCCTGGTAGCGGAGAAGCCAGCGGTCCGGTTCGACCATTGCTGACGAAAGACCGTTTGACTCTTCGAGATAAGGCGTTGTTGATATCATCTTCTATATAAAATTGTTGTGATTGTGTACCGAGCGGGAGCTAGCCCCAAACCGATGGCGGACCCACCCGCGGGGGCTCTCGAAGCCACACCCACAAACACTCAAGAAACGACCAACCCCTTTTCGTTAGAGGAGTTTCAGCCTTCGATAGTTCCCCGCAAGAGAAGACAGCCTCGCCATGGCTCGATCCCTTCGTGGAGATCGAAGTCGGTTCAGACCGAGAGACGGCGATAGAACAGGCCGAGGCAATCCGCTCAACATCAGATATCATCGTCTATTCGGACGCCTCAGGACGCGACAGTCAATCAGGAGCTACGGTGGTAACATTCAATAACGATATAGAGATAGTCAAATCCTAATAGGTCTAGGTTGGACCGATGGACCGCTGGTCGGTATATATAGCGGAGCTGATAGGCATCTTCTACGCGATCAGCACTATGTTTAAGATGGCCTACCGGCAACCAAGACCGGAAGACCGATAAGCGACTGCGACAATCCTCTGCGATAGTAAGTCAGCCTTGCAAGTAATTAAGAGCGTAAGGAATAAGTCAGGATAAAGGATCGTCCACACGATCTACTAAGCCGCTACCGAGGTCTAGACTGTAGGAACCGCGCTATACCTTTAGTGGGTACCAGGATATTATAATAATCCCGGTAACGACGCTGTGGACTAAATAGCGAAGCTTACGGCTAGCCTAGGTAAATCTTACCCCTTCTACCCGCTACTTACAAGGGAGAGGGCATTTATCTATAGAAATATCACCTCCTAGTAGGAATATAAATAGAGAATATCTAATAAAGGTAGTTATCTACAAAAGATTGACAATACTCTACCGGTAACGTATACTAGGAAGCTGTACAGAAGCCTACCTAGGGACCGGGTATATCTACTAACACAGCTACGTATAGTCTACAATTAGCTATCTACCTACTATAAGAAGATTAGCTATAGCGAGGATAACCGCTATAATTACAGTATATAAGAAACAGTTACCTATATACTTATAGACTGCCTAAGTCTAGTAGAGTTATAAAGAAATCTAAAGAGAGAAGTAGGGAACGCGTTTAATAGTATATTAAGTCTACTAGGAGGCTTAAAATAAGGTGAAAAAGGTAAACTAGATACTATCTTATAAGCTAAAAAGGCCTAGGCTATACTAGACTTTACTAAGGCGTTATAACGGTTTTATAGTCGCGTACTATAAGGGCAGCCTAATAATAGGAACGGTAACTAGGCTATAAGAGGCCTTAATAAGGCTCTAAGTTCCTTTCTAGGAAGTAGATCACTCTATATATATATATAGGGATATATATAGTTAAGGTAGTCTATATATCACTTTTATTATAAGGGGTTAGGGTAAATGAAATATATATATATATATATATTCCTAATAGCGGTACCGGTAGCGGTAGTATAGTAGTAAGTACCCTAAAGGTAACCTATAGGATAACGAATTGGTCACTCGTTATTCTATAGGGTTTAGGTTCAATTCCTAGCGCTAGCACGTCAATTACTACAATCGCGTCTCTATAGAGAGATATATAACCCGGGGTAGTGGAGTACCCCAGCCTTTTCACAGTTTAAAGTAGAGACAATCATAGGCCTTACCAGGTAAGGCTTAAAGTTCATCGTTCAGGAAGTTTAGAACAATCTCAGTAGATAAATCATCATATATTTACAAAAAGTAGTGGTAGCCTGCATATCGCTTTATTACGAGGGGTCAGGGTAAATGAATTACACACACATACACACACACACACTCCTGTATACTTGTGGGGTACTTTTCAAACATCTGTTATGCATTATACGCACGGTATTTACTACTCTTAGAAGCAGTGTCTTGTCATTTGCAAGCATAGATAGAGACCGTCTTCTCAACATAAATTACCTAAAAAAAAATTGAAACGGTTGCCTAAACAATATTGCAATATGCGACATTTGTTTTCTGACTTGCAAGATGCGCAATCGAATCATGCTTGAAAGAATGATGTTTTTTGGGGGGGTAAGAATGAAAACGACAAATTTTCAAGCTTGGACAACCCAGTAGCGGCCAGTTTTGATTTTACTTTCTTATCTGTTTATATCAGCTTATCGTGAGAGCAGAACTCTGCGGCACTTACGCAAGGGTATTGAAAATGAGACATATAGTGCGGCTGCTTTAACCTGAGGGTGTTCCAACAAGGTTCAATTGATGGTGAACAAAGTCATTTTTTGATCCGAAGAATCATGCCATCGACTTTACATTCCTTTTTCTGCTGGGAAGCTTGATCGTGCCCATCAGATTTGCCATCAACGCCCACCCAAACCTGGAAACTCAATCAAAATCTATATAAATACCTCGTCAGACGTCAGCTCTCCCAGCATTATTTAGCAACTGACCGTTACAGGTTTTGTCAGTAAAGGCAGCTCAGTTTGTCTCGCCCATACAGCCTATTCCTGACGAGAGATTCAAGTGCCCAGACAGGAAAGGTACGTCTCTTTGCTTTCGATGAGGTCCATATGGCGATTGACTGCGTGACGTCTAATCCCAAAACTAAGAGCATACAGAAGGGTGTTCCGCAGAACAGACGGAGATTGAGAGAGGTAAACCTATTCCATTTATATCAGAAGAGTTTTCGCTGCTTATTAGCTTTGTCGAATGCCTTACCCACAGCGAGATCACACAATATATCCTTCGCAACAGGAAAGAACGGAAAACGGGGTCTCGCGAGTGATGTAGTCAAGATAATGACCTCGCCACGGTGACTGTACTTGCTGAGGAATTTAAGTAGAACTATATTTATAAATTTACTGGCGAGGCCAGTCTAGGTAATCCGAGACCACCGAATCGACGTATATTCTAGAAAACAAAGGACTTTGAACGTCAGCATATCAAAAGGCTAAGGTATTTTGTGCCTGAGGCATGAATCGACTCGAGCCAAGGGGGTGAGTAAGCTGGTAAAACATCTGGACGCATTCCGCCCTGACGGGCCACTCCCCCGCGCCAGACAGCGAACCCCCTACTATGTAGACTTCGATTTGCATCATTCGATTATCTGCTGAATACTGATTTCAACAAGCGATGGAAGAAACAATCGCTGAACTACGACGTCAGCTTGAGGAGGAGAGACAGGCACGAGAAGAGGCACAGCGCCGTGAAGAGGAAGAGAGACAGGCGCGAGAAGAAGCAGAGCGCCTCCAGGGAGAGGCTGAACGGCGACTCGAACCCAACACACTATTCCGCCTCCTCGATCGCTGCCACAACTCTCTGTCTCAAGCGATTCGGGTTGAGACGGATGCGACTCTCACGACCCAGGGCGACGCGACTGACCCCGTCAACCGACTTTACCCCAAGCGCGTTGTCCCTTGGCTTGATTTCCCCCAACTCCAAGAGAAAATCTGGAGGAAATTCGACTGTACCGGTGCCTTTACCTCGCGCCCACTATTCCCTTCTAATACCTAAATTGATTATGTCCTTACGAATATCCAGAACAGGCCGATCTATTCGGAAGCGTCTCTTCGGAATTTTGAGCGAGATATGGTGGATAACTTTGTCGAAAAGGCCATTATGGCTTTGCGAGATGATGAACCCCTTCGATATAAGTTTGGAATCCAAGGCCGAGTCACCTTCTATAACCGCGCAAACCCATCGGAAACCTCTTTGGAGAAGAGCTTGGAGCAAATGAACCTTCAGGGCACGTGGACACCCTAACGAGTGGCGAACACTAGGTATAGAAGAGGCAGAGGAATAGGGAGAGGAGTGGTGCAGGGATAGAAGAGGGATGGCACTATACGAAGACGCAATCGGTGCGCCGACTAGTTCTGCGTGTACCTTGTGGCTGATGAACGACAAAAACCGGTGTATGCAGTGGAGTTTAAAGCGCTGTATAAGGTGACAATCCCCGAATTGGTGGCGGGTCTATACCAAATGGATCTGGCTCGCGATGTCATTGACCAGGAAGGCGACACGTTTGAGTTTTATGCCACCTACCTCGTTGCTGTAGTGGTCACTCAGATATTCTTATATATGATCGACAGTGGGGTTCAATACGGCTATATCTGCATGGGGGAGGCTTTTGTTTTTCTCTATATTCCGAATGATAACCCTACAGTTGTTCAATATTTCTTGTGTATCCCGAATCAGGACGTGCAGGCGGACGATGATTGGCGCTTCTACCGGACCGCCATCGGTCAGGTGCTTGCATTTACCCTTTAAGCGCTGGCTGCCGAAGATCCATCTTAAGAATGGCATGATGCGGCATACGATAGACTAAAGACCTGGGAGGTCGAATACCAGGACGTTTTAAGAAAAATTCCCAAAACACTTCGTAAAGACCCGCGAGCCTCTAATTATCGACCCTTGTACTGGAAACCAGAGCCGAAGACACACAATATATGATCCCGTTCTCGCTGCTAACCAGGTATGTCTACTCCGAAGCATTCGTTGACCGAAGGTAGCGGCAGTGATAAAGAATCGCATTCGCTATCTATTGCAGTAGCGGCGTGTAGTAGGTCGAGCCGCGGTCGAGGTAACAATCGTTAATCGACTAAGGAAAGCGAAAGGATATAAGCCGGCCGGAATAATAAACAGACTTCTTAAAAAGTAGGGCAATCCGCGCGACCATATTGCACTATTGCCTGTATCCGCGGTATGGCTAACCGAGATCCTCTAGATAAAGAATGCCCTAACTGGAAACTCCACGGTGGCTAAAGACACTCCGTGGGACTGTAGGAGTTCACACGCCGGCTTCACTATCAACTTTCCCGAAACCGAAATCATGGGTTTGAGCAACTTCACGTCTGTGGTCGGACGGGTTACCTTATTAAAGCGACTCTTCTATTGTACGGATACACTGTGATAATCAAGGCTACTACGGCGGACAAGCAGTATCTCATTAAAGCAGAGGCAAATAATTATCGTTACCTTAGGAGCCTGTAAGGAAATCAGATCCCCGTCTGTCTTGGGACTTTTACGCCACGAGTCTCATATTGGTACTATGGCGAATTAATGGCGCAGATGATGATACTGAGCTGGGCTGGAAAACGTCTTCAGCATGTCATCAACGATGAGAATTCCAGATTCTTTCACCTAGAGCGCGACAAAGCTCTAACCGTGCTCCGGTTACATGGAGTTGTCTATGGCGACAGTGAGTGGCGCAACATGCTGTGGGATGACCTGGGTGTTCGTTTGTTTGTCATTGACCTGGAGGAAGTGAAATGGTTAAAGCGCCCTCGGGCTCTTGAACCCACCTCTGGCAACATGCGGCATGGTCATCGCGTCGGGGTGGGGAAGAGCAGAAAAAAGCTCCTGTCTAGCTCCACTGCTGTCTGCTTATGACGGCCCCGAGACCCATAGACCACTGCGTTAGTTAACGTTACGTCTACACCTTCAGATCACTCGTGATATCTGGGGGGAGGGGGTACAGCGTTAAATTCACAAATTTGAACAAGGAAATCAAAGCCCTCAGGATAATACATGAAGACCTTAGGCGAGACAATGTCCATTGGAGTGAAGAGCTTGGGCGTGCTTTGATCATCGACTTTCACCGCTCTACTCTGAAGTGTCGGCCGAACCCTTAAAACCTTGCGAACAGTTCCAAGAACTTGTCAAAATTATAGATCAATCAATCAGCGTGGAAGAACAAGAGAATATGGCGCGACGCAAACGGATACGTACAGAACAAAGTTTACCAACGGAAGAAAAAAGTCATGCCACAGAGTGTGATGATCAACAGATGATGGAACGAAGAAGCAAAGGTAAGTTATAAACAACGCCATGTCATGCACAGGAGAATAATGCTAAAATTATAACAGAAATCGACTACAAAATGTCGTCCATGCCACCCAGCAAGCTGCCAAATTTGATCAAGCGTCTTTCGTGGGCGATAGAGAGGACAGATAAACTCTGTTCCCCTCCCCCAAACCTAGAATCAAACGCGGATGACGGGAATCCATCCCGTGATTTTGGCATCACCCACCAACCAAGGAAGTCTGTACCTGTCTTTATATCTCGTTATGTTCCCACCATTCAAGCCTCCTTGACGCTTCCCCGCTGTCAGCTGCGAGCGTGCCTTTGGACATGGCCGACCAAACTATCGATGTTGTGCGTCGGGGATGATTCCAAACCCCTACGAGTCCCCTTATACGCCTTCTGATCTGCTATCATCAGGATCCGGATCTGTACCGCGCCGATAGCAAATCTGGCCCCGGAGATTGGATATCGTATGTCAGTCGATCGCATGACCCTTGCCGAACTATTCTGACATTCAACATTGTTTAGGCAGAGAACTTCGATCGGATCTTCGATTTATAAGGGGCTAATGGCTTGGGAGTCATGGGGTGGGCAATGTGTGATCTTATAATCGGTCTTCTAGCCTGTTAGCTGGAATCCGACTTTATCAACGACTCTCAGGGCACAAGCCTAGCACATGTTCAATTTGCCATCAAGGCCGTCTGGAAGCAAATTAACAATCCAGACTGCTACTCTAACGCTAAGTGTTTAGGCATAGTCATCAACTACTCCTTAGACTGGGCTCGAGCATCCCGCAGACCTTCACTCGCCGTTGACGAGATGACCTTGCCAATCTTCTCAATCTCCTCGAGTCTTTGCAACCAGAATTTCCACCGATCCATGCTCATCGGCCCCGCCGTCCAAAGCCTCCCCTCTCTCTCCAACGCCCAGGACTTCTCACCTTTCTTCGCGCTCTCTCTGAGTCTTTCTCCAGCTACCTTGATCCACACTGCCGCAGCAGGTACCTCAAAGTCCCACAATGCATCTTGGCATTCGAGCGCTTCGGAGATGCACTCATAGCCCCAGCTTAGTGGCAAAAGACCATCTTCAGCATTCGGTCCCGGAGCAGCCATTGCACAAGACGCCTCCACAAAGGCCTGGTGCACGTGAGCCTCACGCCTCTTCGCTCTTGTGGCTGGATCCCGCGTTGCCAACGCTTTGCGCCAGTGGCTCTGCTTCCATCCATCTGCCCATGAGTGGCCGAAACTTTTGAGACCTTTCCAGACAGGTTCGCCGTCCTCTTCGTCTGGCAGTTGGCTAAGTTCTTTGAGCAGGTCGACAAGAGCGGGTGTGTGGCTTTCAGGCAGCTCAAAAAGTGCGTCTTCGAGTATGCCCACTATGCGGTCTCGCAGGTCGGTCTTCTTCTCGGAGTCATGTGGCTTGGTCAGGGCGGCAGCTGTCTCGGATGGCTTGGAGTCGCCTTTGAGGTACGCTTTGAGAGCCGCAGCTTGATACGGATGCACCCCGGTCTCTTCCTCGCCGTCCATGGGTGCAGTATGTTGATCGAACCAAGCGTCATCGGCGGCAGAGCCAAAGCCGTCGAGCTCAATCGATTTGCACGTCATTTCTTGAATGCTGGTGTTCATGATGACAGAGCGCGAGGGCTCTTGAAGGAATAAATTTTGGGACTTTGAGTGTTTGAGAGATGAGCAGTCACTACGCTGCGCTGCTGAGACGAAGGATGTGTTAGTTGCGTTATGTTCGAGGAAAGAAAGTGCGGAGTGGTCGCAATATCGGAAACTTTCAAGAGTGGCAACTAGGCAGCAAAAGTCCAAAGAGTCACACAACTACCCTGATATTGATCGAGGCGCAGTGTAATCCTCCGTCCTGTTGCAACAATAGCCCTGTACAGTGACATCATAAGGCTGCCCATCATGACTAATCTGCCGATCAACCAGGAACGTGGGGTTGACAATTAAGCCGCACCGATTAGAGCAAAATGCCCGATACAACAACAACTGATTTCGTCGAGTGGAACAACTGTTTTTCTTGGCCGAAAAGGCGCAACATAAAATCGTGCTCAATTCAGGGAAGAGACTTTGGCGCCGCCAAGCAGCTTGATCCAGTCAACCGCATCAATAGCGTCTTGAGTCGAGACGATATTACCTAAAAGATGAGAAGCCTGGTATGCAAAGACGATATGATTCTGTCGGAGCATCTGTCACGCCGAGACCCGACCAGTTCAACAGGCGGATGGACATGCGGATTGACGTCACTGGACATTATATCCACTAGGGAAGATGGGGCCAGTTTTGGTCTCAAGGCTGACGGCCCCCAATAGAATCCTCCCAGCCTTGTGTACAAATGAACGATGTCCATGCGCAGGGTCCGAAAGACGAGAGTGGTCAAATGCTATATGCAGTACGATTTACAGGGCTTTAGAGTAGCTTACACCGATAAGCTCCATCAGCATTGGAACTTCAACACTCCAATTGCTCTATTCTATACGCAGTTGCGAGGGAAATGGAGACTTTCTTGTCACAGTGAGAGTAGGCAAAGTCATTGTCTTCCGCTTCAAGCTTGCTTTGGAGCACTCGCCCTAGTCGCATGTATGCAAAGCGAGCTTTACCGGTTTGAAGGATTCCACTACTAACAGTCCTACTAAAAAGCCTCCAAACAAGGAAATCATTGCATCACAATGTAGAATTGCCCCCAATTGTCGCGCGATATCAGCTCCTCTGTGAGCCAATCGACGCTTCAACAGGTAGATTCTGTATGTCCGTCCCTGCTAGTGCAAGGCTCTCAATCAGCCTAGGTGAAGCCTAGGTGACTCCATCAATGGCATAAAAGAGCCTTTGCCGGCTCTAAAATCCAGCAGCAAGCACTCAGACCTCATCTTAGCATCAACAGTTCAACTTCAATCCTCCAGCAATCTTTTTCTACTCCAATCGTCCAACCGCAACAATGAAGTTCACATTGGCAACCGCCTCCATCCTCTTCTTGAGCCTCGCCTCGGCCCTTTCGGCCGATGACTTTGCTGATCTTCAAGAGCGTGGGGAACCTTCCAACGCACCCATTAACGTACGTCATCACTCCATTAAATTGAAACCTTCCAATTCTGACTGATATCTCTTTTAGTGGGATGGTCCCAACGCCTCTGCATCCATCAAGTGCGGCAAGAACACTTATGACGGACACGATATCTACCTTGCCACGCAGCACGCCGTGAACCTGGGCATGCTGGACCCTCCTGAGACGCGAGGCGCGAAGAACTACCCGCACCCGTTCGATAATGATAACAGCAAGAATGTGCAGCTGCACTTCCCTGCTCACTGCCCCGAGCACGACCAGAATCGAAAGGAGTATCCGCTCGTCAAGAACGGGCCTTACAACGGTGGCAAGAACAATAAGAAATACGGGGACGAGCGCGTCGTATTTTACTACAATGGCAAGGCGCAAGGTGTTGATGGTCACCCATTGGCCTACTACTGTGGCTTGATGACCCATGAGGGTGCAGTGCCGGGCGGTTTCTTGCAATGCCCCGATGGGAAATAAACTTGCGCCGAGGTCCATACTCAGACTCCGAGCGTTGAATTTAGTCCGTAAAAGAAACCTTGGAGGTTCTTGGGCTGAGTGATTGCATGATGGGCTCTCTAGACAAATCTGCTCACCAACCCCAATTTGCTACATGGGGCAATACCTTTGTATTCACGCCAGAAATCTAGTTTGAATGTCACAAGTCTAGTCTACACATCTGGTCCACTCCCTTTCTGCAAGAACTCATAGTGGAGGACCCTCGCGGGTTTCACTCCCTTCGCTTCAACACCGCTTCATACCTAATTGATTCGCTAAGGTGCCGTTATTATCACACCTCACGGGGTGCCTTGTTCCGGCTTGAACTTAAAGACGCTAATATCTATTGGTCAATTTTGGAGAAATATTGCTCAAGCCTGTCATTCGTAGGTAACTACAGCCCAAGGCCAAAAGTAACCAAGGGAAGGCCGTCAATTCCTGGATGGCGGTGAATTACAAAATCTCTCTCTGGAGTGACAGAGCACTAACACATCCGACGCTGAGTCCGACGGCGGTCTGCAAAGTTGGGCAGCAGCTGGAACAACCCGTCTATATGTGGGATGTCGGGAAACGGCGCCACCTTTTCTTTTAAGTCAGCGGCGTTGAAGGTAGGTTACGTGACAGCGTATTGGGGCTCTAAACCCTAAAAGGCAAAACTAACCGGATCTAGTAATTCACAGGTCCGCCGTTTGTAAGACTCACATTACAGTCGAAAGCAGTGTCGCCAATAGCAAAAAGTGAGATTAAAACTGCGTTTCATTGCCAGAGCGGCTTAGCGACTCTGCGGAGAGACCATTGCCGCTCTTCGAAACTGTGAAACCTGGTAAGATTCAACTGTTGCCCAATGCACTACGGGCGCTAGACCCAGCGGGACGGTCTTATTTTTGGCGATCCGTTTGACTGATATTCGATAAAGTCTAATAACTACTGCCAACTCAAACCGGGGAATAGCGGTCTACCGTTTGCCTGCGCCGAGGTGGACCGTATCGCGGTCTTAACATACCTTCTTCGGTGCCTTTACTCTTGCTACCCGCGGCTTAAACTGCCTCGCAAGGTGCGCCTCTATATGAAGATTCGCTCCTTACGTTAGAACTCTGCCCAGAATGCCTAGAATTTCTAGCCTTATGGCCCTTAAGTCGTGTGGAATAGTGTACCTAGAGGGAGCCTACCGACCTTCTAGGAAAATACTCTGCGATTCGCTTCTATGGCAGGCTCTGCTCTTCCTTCAATTCAATCAAAAGTTGGTCGTCCTTAGATAGGAATCGGGTTGGCCCGGTCGTTTTCCTAGCGCAGGACCCTTTCTGAGGGGGTTGCTTAGAATGCTGGCTGCCAATTTTGTTTTTATAGTGTGAAGTAGCTCTACCTGATCTCTAAGAGTAGGAATACTCTACCTACTCTTCAAAGGTAACTGAATAGATGACCCTTAATAAAAGTATCTATCGCGTAAGGAAACCTCGGATAGGAATCGTTTCGATATTATATAAGCTTATTGGGGAAGACTGATCTACGGCTACTTTAAATTGAACTGCCTCGTCGACTAAGAGACGTTTAGTGTTCTGCCGGGGAGGTCTAGGCTTAAGCTGTACGGTAGGTCGCCTTACTCTTTTTAGTCGATAGAAAGGAATGCTATTTCTATATACGTCTTTACCACTTTCGCCTACATAGTCTGTATCGTCGGGGCCATGAGGGTCATCGCTACTGTTATCAGATATATACTTATCCTAGTCCCGCTTCCTGTTTGAAGAGGCTATTCGTATTATTGAGATAGAGTTATTCGTTCCTCGCTCTTAGGAACGGCAGTTAGGGATAATAACCGAAAGCTGGTCTAAAACTGGAGCCTAATCTAATACTGGATAAAATCCTATAACTTCCTCTGTTGGGCTATATAGCGACTGCTTTTTACTGTCTTAGAATATAGGTAAGATTGAACGCGCTAATGTTCCATTTTGACGAAATTTTGGAGATACTAACAGGCTCTCTGTATCACAACGCTGTAGCTCGCCTTTGTTATTATAAA